GCTGCACCTCCTCTGTGGAACTCCCTTCCCTTCTCCGTAAGACTTTCACCAAGTCTCCACTCATTCAAAAAAATCATTGAACAGTCACTTCATGAAAGCATATCAGTTAAACTGTTAGCAGGTTTTTATCCCCCACCCCCATGACTCCTCTCCTGCAACTGTCAAAATTACCTACTAAGCCCTCAGTGAATACTTTTCTAACAACCTACTTTGTACCCCTACTTTTACCCTTTGTGTCACTATACCCCACTCCCTCTAGAATGTAAGCTCATTGAGCAGGGCCCTCCACCTCTCTGTTCCTGTACGTCCAGCTGTCTGGTTACAATTACATGTCTGTTAGTCCATGCTATGGAATCTTATGGCGCTATATAAATAATAAAATAATAATAATTCAAATTTTAAACACTGTAATATACTGTCTCTCAGGTACTCCACAAGAATGGGCTCATAATCTTTTGCGTACCAATGATCCAGCTTTACAGTCCTGGGATGCGATTATCACTTTAATGTTCTCCATGTACAAAACTTCCACCAGACAAGAAACTGCCCAAACCACCATCAGAGCCTTAAAACAAGGCCACAGACCTTTGGAGGGTTTAAAGATTAAAAAAACAGATTTAAAACATTACGCTACAGACACATTGTGGAATAAAATCAGTCTCATAAACCATTTGATATTGGACTATCAGAATAACCAAATGTTGATTTTGCTCACTTCAGAATTCCCAATTCCTTGAAAACTCTAATTGACATTTGAGAGAGAGAGGCATCTAGAGAAAGACACCACATACAATACAAATCCCAGGGTCTCTGCTGTCAGCCAAGGCAGTCCTCAAACTGCCACTACCAGTTCTATGCAGAATCTATACAGATTGGTCTTATTCAGGGGTGCCTTCCCCAGCTGAGCTACGAAAGAGACACAGGGACAACCTTTGTCATTACTGTGGCTGGTCTAATCCCACTAGGAAAACATGTCCTGAGAAGGCAAAAACCGAACAATGTAAGTGGGCCTTCAATATGATAGAAACTTCAGCTGAGGTCACTGATACACAACTTTTTTCTGTTTTTCATCTGGTACAGTAGAACAAGATCTTCTATGACTGAAAAGCATTGATATATTCAGGTGACAGTGGCTGCTTTATGGACCTCAAAGCTGCCCATGCCCTCTCAATACTGGAGTTAAATAACGATAAACCATAAACATTTGTTGATCATTCTTTTCTAAAATATATTCCTGTTTGTCAACAAACTCCTAATGTTCAAGTCACTATAGGTGAACATTTGAGCTAGTACCTCCCCCCTTGTTCCTGGTTATATTAGGTATCCCATGGTTACATAATAATGATGCCTTTATCTCTTGGTCCAAAGGTACTATAACTTTCTCGTCTCCTCTCTGTACTTCACAATGTCTACAAGGTTCCCTGACCCAAGGAATTGCTTGTTCTATACTGGAAATGAATATGAAGAAAAGCAATGTTACACTTTTCTGAAGCATATGCTGACTACTCTTCTGCCCTCAGAAGAGAATACAATTATCCAATAGACCAGGGTTGACAAATCCCAGGTCACCATGGTGACAAGGAATTTGTCTTGGTGCCAGCCCATTCAGCAGCCAGGGAAAATGGAACTGGCCGGCTGAGGGACAGTGGAGGTGGCTGCCTGAGTGAGAGAGAATCTGGGCAGCAAGGGAGCTGAAATCTTCCAGCTCTTCTTGCTCTCCTCCTTCACATGTCCTTCTGTGATGCTGTATGCCGGGATATGACGTCACTCCATTCCTGACATCACTAAATAATAAATTATGAGTCTGTAAGAGAATGTGTGTGTATCTGTCTGTCTTTCAGAGAGTGTGTGTGTCTGAGTGTGTGTATGTCTGTGTGTCTATCAGTCAGTGAGTGTTTGTCAGTATGTGTGTGTGTGTGTGTGTGTCTGTTTAGGCGACCGGCTCCCCTCCGATCATATGGGACAGATGTTTTTACTCACCTTTTTTACACGCTGTGCTGGTCTTGCCATGGCTGGCTCCACCCTCCTATTATTGTTTTCCCACCTGCATGGCAAACTGATGTGCTGCGCCTATTAGCATTCCATCATTAAATCAATGCATCACTGTGGGGAACATTCTTCGACTCCATGCAGAGCAAGGAAATGCTAAACATGCACACTCTGAACTAATAAGCACCTCTAGTGGCTGTCGGCGTGACATTCAATAGAGTTGTCATTTGGCAGCAATGTAAACAATGCTTTTTCTATAAAAAGCAGGGCCGGTGCAAGGATTTTTGCCGCCCTAGGCAAAAGTAAAGTTTGCCGCCCCCCCATATGACATCACAATGCCCCATGTTAACTAACGCAAGTGCTGCAGTGCCGCCGTGTTTACATTAAAAGGCCTGCAAGGACAGGCTATAGACACCAGAACCACTACATTAAGCTGCAGTGGTTCTGGGGACTATAGTGTTTCTTTAATGTGAGGTAAATTAGAGATTAGTGCCACGAATAATATACTAGATTGCCTACTTACAACCAGATGAGGATGGTGATGGGCTCTAGCTGCAGTCTGGCTCCACTCGTCTGGTGTAGAACAGGCTCTCTGGAGGCTGTTTGTGTTCTGGGAGAACGGGAAGCAGCTCCATTTTTTTAAGGCCCTTTACACAGCTCAAGGTCTGGGCCCCAGGGTCCACCTTCATGTTCCACCAATTAGTTTGTTCACAGGAGTAGGGGATGTCCTGATATGTGTGTAAGGAATGCATTGTGTGAATCTGTGTTTGTATGTGTAAGGGCTGCAATGTGTGTTTCTATGTATGTACGGGATGCAGTGTGTGCGTCTGTAAGGGGTGCATTGAGTGTGTGTAAGGGGTGCATTGAGTGTGTGTAAGGAATGCATTGTGTGTTTCTGTGTTAGTAAGGGATGCATTGTGTGTAAGGGTTGAATTGCTTGTGTGTGTGTGTGTGTGTCTGTGTGTGTAATGCATTGTGTGTTTTTCTGTGTGCAAGGGGTGCATTGTGTGTGTGTGATGGATGTCAATCTCTCCCCCCTCCCTTGTCACTCTCTTCTCCCCCTCTCCCTCCCTCGTCACTCTCTTCTCTCCCCCCCTTGTCTCTCTCTTCTCCCCCCCCTTGTCCCTCTCTTCTCCCCCCTCTTGTCCCTCTCTTCTCCCCCCTCCCTTCTCACTCTCTTCTCCCTTGCATGTCCCTCTCTTCTCCCCCCTCCCTTGTCACTCTCGTCTCCCCCGTTGTAACTCTCTTCTCCCCTCCCCACTCTCATTCCCCCTCCTAACCCCGTCAATTCCCCTCCCTGTCAATTTCTCCCCCCCACCTTGTCAATTTATTCCCCCCACCCTGCCTGTCCATTTATTCCCCCACCCTGCCTGTCCATTTATCCCCCCCTCCCTGTCCATTTTGTCCCCCCCTCCTGTCCATTTATTCTCCCCTCCTGTCCATGTATTTTTCCCCCCCCCTGTCCATTTATTCCCCTTTCCATTTATTCCCCTCCTGTCCATGTGTTTCCCCCTCCCTATCCATTCATTCATTCATTCCCTCCCTGTCCATTTATTCCCCCTCCCTCTGTCCATTTTATTCCCCCCCTCCCTGTCCATTTCCCCGATCCATTTTATCCCCCTTCCCCTCCCCTGTCCATTTATTCCCTCCTGTCATTTATTTCCCCTCACTCCTGTGCATTTTATTCCCCTCTCCCTCTGTCCATTTATTTCCCCTCTCCCCTCCCCTGTCCATTTATTCCCCCCCCACCCTCCCCTACCTCTATTGTAGGCATTGCTCTGTATTAGGGTACAGGGAGCTTTGTTTCCTGTACCGGCCGGACTAACAGGAAGTGCATACTCAGTGTGCACTTCCTGTTAGTCCGGCCGGGTACAGGAGACAGATGCTCCCTGTACCCGCGGACCATGCTGCAGGGCTCGGCCACGCTACAGTGAGGGAGTGACAGGAGGGAGCGCTGAGCGTTTCCCTCCTGTCAGCCCCTCTCCTCAGGCTGCGCCCGGGCGGTGCAGTCCGCCCTCATGGACGCACCGCCCGGGCAAAGCTGCTCGGGCGGCTGCAGCATGGGGGGGCCGGCGCTCCTGGCGGCGCCCCTTCCTAAGGGGCGCCCTAGGCGGCTGCCTAGTCCGCCTTACAGGTAGCGCCGGCCCTGATAAAAAGGCAGTGTTTACATTAAAAAGCCTGCAAGGACAGGCTATAGACACGAGAACCACTATATTAAGCTGTAGTGGTTCTTGTGACTATAGTGTCCCTTTTTTGAATTTTATTTTTGTAGTAAAAAATAATGCTTTGTTAGTTTTAAAATAACCTGGCTCCCCAACTTTTTTCACTGGCTCCAAGCACGTTTTCCTGTGAGAACCTATTTCATATGGTTAGATATATTCTCTAGCACAAAATGAGTTATGCATTATTGAAGGAGTATTTTCAGGAGAATTTAAGTAAATTATTAATTTGAACATCAACATCTACTGCAGTAGCTGGAATTTTTTTGGGGGGAAAGAAAGTAACTTTGCGTTCTTGTTGTGACTACAGGGATCTAAATAAAATCACAATCAAAAATAAATATAGTTACACAGTTACATTTGAAGTGCCTATAACTTGTTGCATGTTCGCCAAGGGGATGAGTGGAAGACTGCATTACATTTTTTATATGGACATGACAAATATCTGGTAATGTCTCACGGTTTGTGTAGTGCCCCCGCTACATTCCAACATTTTTTTTTCATTTTAAAGAGTTAAACAAGCAAGGAAGATATTACTGGAAGGTCAACCATTATACAAATGGTATTAAGATTGCAAAAGAGAACCTGCTCCTCCTTATATGGTTGGTCAATCTGTCTAGTTATCTACAAGAAATTTCATACTATCATGTCAAACTAGGGAACAGGGTCCCAAATACATTGGCCCTTTTCACATAATCAAACTTATTTAACTTATTCAAAAAAATATATTTGAATATAGCCTCATTACGTCCTGACGAAGCCATCTGAGAACAGCAAAACGTGTAGACGACATCAGCACGCACGTAAGGTGGGAGGAACCAAGTGGAAGCCGGGAGGTTTGAACGGCGATTGCATTACAGCGGATTAGCTTGCAATCTGGACTCCATATATTGGAACCTCGTCTGACTTACCTGCAGGAGACATCTCCCAGCGTGGGGAAGCGTGCTTGTGAGTCACGGGAAAATATATCGTTGTACTCACCATCAACTCTAGTAAGCAGTTATCTGTTTACCATTTCCAATTCAATTTTGAGTGCTTTGTATTTTAATGTTTTACTGTATATAGTGTAGTATGTTGAGCTAATAAGCAGGGGTAGTTATGTAGATAGGTGTACACTCACATATTATGGAGTCTAAATATTAGCTCCAAAAGTAATGTGTGAAGTGGTATGATCCCTTACTCTAGGGTATAGGTGATGTGGATTTTCCAGTAGTACGTACCAGAAAATTAGAGTGTAAAGCACAGCAATATTAATAAAAGCCTACTCACATGCTTCTAAGCAAAAGGAGATTTGCTCGATCTTGTTGGCTTCGGTGTTATTATCCCCACCAAGGATACATAGCTCAAGATTCAAGAGCAGAAGAACATGTCCAATAAAAAAAGTACACTTAACATGTTTCTCCTGAAACAGGCTTAGTGTGGAGACTTTGGCTGTTAGTACCCAGGAAATTTAGGACCAGGCATTTGTGCATCACCCATGACATTCCTCTATCAGGACATTTAGATGTGGTTCCCAGGAGAGTGTAGTCTGTTGATTTTTATCACAAAAAGGCACATATTTTCAGATATCCTCTAACTTATGCGTTTTATATTATTCAATCTTACCTTACTTGTAACACTCAATGTTTTGCTTATTTATTATTTTGCAAACTTAACATACAATATATACAGCAAACTAAGAAAATAAATTCAGGGAACACAGGTCAGTAATTCTACACAAACAAGCTAACAATCCATTGTTAGTTCACTTTAAACAAGCTCATAATTTAGATCCTAGTGGTCTAACAGACATGGGTATAGAGTTGATACCTTACCACTTGACAGGGCAACCAGGGTTAAAACCCTGCTCAGTCAAAGTGGATTTATTTACTAGATAGACTATCTACCAGTTACTATGCCCACATAGCCCATAGCAGGCTATTTCAAAGGAAGGGAGCCACAAGCGTGAGTTGGTTGTAAGGGTGCGAGCAGCGGACAGGAGAAGGTCATGGACAGAGCGTTGTGAATCAGTGAAGAGATATGAGAGGCTAGAATTGTTCTGTGGTATATTCTTTATAGGTATGGATAAGTACTTTTAATTGACTCCCATAGGATACAGAAAACCAATGTAAGGACTGACAGAGGGGTGAGGTGTGAGAGGAGTGACTGGAGAGGAAAAAAAATCAGTCTGGCAGCAACATTCATTACAGACTGTAGCAGCAAAATGCAGCTTCTGGCAAGACCAATTAGGAGTGGGTTACAATAATCCATGCAAGAGATTACTAAAGCATGGACAAGCTCCTTAATAGTATCTTGAATAAGAAAGGGGCGGATGCGGGCAATGTTTTTAAGGTGGAATCAACAGGTTTTGGTAACAGACTGGATGTGAGACTTAAAGGTGAGGCCAGAATCAAGTGGAATGCCAAGACAGCGTGCTTGCAAGGATGGACTGATGTGGGTACCACTAACTTGAAGGAAGAGTGAAAGAGGAGGATCAGTATTAGGAGGAGGAAAGGCATGGAGTTCGATTTTAGACAGATTGAGTTTCAGAAAGCGGGAGGACATTCAGTCAGAGATGGAAGAAAGGCAATTGGTGAAATGTTGCAGGACAGCAAGAGGAAGGGCACGGGAGGTAGCGAAATCCAAACAAATTAACGAGTTTGCCAAGAGAGGCAGTATGGAGAGAGAACAAAAGGGGGACCTTGAGTGACTCCAACTGAGACAAGATGAGGGGAGGAGGTGTCATTGGAAAAGGAGACACTGAATAAACATTGGGAGAGATAGGAGGAAAACCATGAGAGGGCTGTGTTACAAAGACCAAGACATTAAAGAGTTTGGAGGAGGAGGACATGATCAACAGTGTCAAAGGCAGCAGAAAGGTCAAGAAGAATTAGTATGGAGTAATGGCCTTTGGATTTAGCTGCAATTAGTTTGTAATAATTTGTAACTTTAATTAGAGTGGTCTCTGTGGAGTGGAGAGGGCGGAATCCAGACTGAAGATGGGATGGGATCAAGTGGACATGAGGTGGGACAGGAGGAAAGGAGAAGCACAGCCTCCTCCTGTTCAGTAGCTGGAGAAAAGTCTTGGAGGGTAGGGATGGTATGGTCCAATTGAGGTTGAGATAGAGAGGAGTGAAGGGAGGAGAATATTTGTGACGAGAGCAATCTCGCCACATTGCATTGGAGAAGCCTGGTTGCTCGCCTGTTGCCTTTGGATTATGGCCCCATGTTAAAAGGCTTGATTTTCCCCTGCAAAGACAAGAAAGCCGGGTCATTTGGTGCTTGCCCTGTTTGAGCAGTGATACCCCAGATAGCTATGCCATGGAGCCCATTCGTATAATGAAAGACTATGGGAAAGACTTTGGCTCCATGGCAATTGAACTGTATGTGTGTGCTCTGAGCGCCATTCAGTAATAATGTGCGCTCAGACCTAAGCTATCTGGGCATATGTTGCATGTCTGTATTTTATGTCATAAATGTAACCTTGTGTATTTTATTGTATTTTACTGTCTTTTGCTGCCATGTGTTCAATGGAGTTTTGCCTCTGTCTTTGGAGATAATTGGATTACTTCCCAATTATCTCCAGGATAGAAGACTCTGTGGAACTGGTTTTGGACAGAAAAGCCAGGCTTCCTGTGGTCACAAAGGACTACGATCTATCTTTTGAACCACTGGATCAATTTGTATGATTTTGATGTATATTTGTATTTGGAGTATGCTGATTCTGAAAATGTGAATGTGATGCATACTTTTCAAGTTATGAATAATGTGGAAAAATTGTATTTCTCTGCTTGTGCTAAATTACATTACCCATTGTGTAAGGTAATGGAATCACATGCAGAGGGGAGGAATTTGTGTGGGAGTGTCTGAGTTTATTGTATGTGTTTATTGGTTGTGTTCCAAAACCCCGTGGGTGGTACTAATGTGTATATAAGCACAATAAACCCACAGCTCTGTCTGACCACTGCTTGACCCACAACACGGAGCCTTGTCACGACTTTGGGGGGGATTTACTGAATGCTGATAGAGACTGATTGCTAGGAGTGTAAGCCGCTTGGATGCTTTTCCTATTCGTCTGCTAGCAGCGATTCGTATGGTTCCTGTTCGTGTGTTTAGAGTGCTATCTTGGATGCCGTTCGGGAGTTTGGAGCATTCACTTATTGGCGGTTCGTGTGTTTGGTGTTCTACAATAGCTGTGCCTGCATCTCTGGAAAGGGGGACGATCGCCTAAACGGTTTTTACCCTTTGTGTGCAAAACGGTCCGTTACAATATTAATTCCTTAACTGTTTAATATTTTCAGTCAAGTAACATGCAAAGCTGAAAGATTAGTTTGGGGGGTGGCTACAGCAGGGGGAAGAAGAGAGTTAAAAGTATTAAAGAGATGCTTAGTAGTGTGAGAGCATGAACTAATGAGAGAGGAAAAATAAAACTGTTTTTCAAGAGTGTGTGTTGAATATTTAAAATAGTGGCCTCCAGGTGTGCCAAAAGCGGATATGACATTGCACTCTTTTGTCTGACATTTTTTATTTGGGGCAAAGACTGGCATGTAAGCCAAGCAAAACAATAAGAGGGAGGTAATCCAAAAAACACCTTAAAAATAGGGCGGGCAATAATATAAAACTTGAATAGGAGGGGACACCTAAACAGTGAAATAAAGGAAAAGGAAAGTAATGTGGTAACCTCCATTCGCTGTATCTCATTGCCTTAAAGATACCTATGCAACAATAATATCCGACTCATTGCCAGTGTCTAGCACCCGGAAGAATGCTGGATGAAAGTTCAGCCAGAGAGGAAGGAGACGGAAGCTGCACCTTTGAGAACATAGACTAGCTGTGAGGGAACATCCTGCCCTGGAATGGGCTATGTGGGCATAATAACTGGTAGATAGTCTATCTAGTAAATAAATCCACTTTGACTGAGCAGGGTTTTAACCCTGGTTGCCCTGTCAAGTGGTAAGGTATCAACTCTATACCCATGTCTGTTAGACCTCTAGGATCTAAATTATGAGCTTGTTTAAAGTGAACTAACAATGGATTGTTAGCTTGTTTGTGTAGAATCACTGACCTGTGTTCCCTGAATCTATTTTCTTAGTTTGCTGTATATATTGTATGTTACGTTTGCAAAATAATAAATAAGCAAAACATTGAGTGTTACAAGTAAGGTAAGATTGAATAATATAAAATGCATAAGTTAGAGGATATCTGAAAATATGTGCCTTTTTGTGATAAAAATCAACAGACTACACACTCCTGGGAACCACATCTAAATGTCCTGATAGAGGAATGTCATGGGTGATGCACAAATGCCTGGTCCTAAATTTCCTGGGTACTAACAGCCAAAGTCTCCACACTAAGCCTGTTTCAGGAGAAACATGTTAAACATGATAATAACCATCAGACTCTCCTCTAGTCGTCAGTTATTTAAAAAGTGCCTTTAAACCCATCTATACAGGAAAGCTTCTGGCTTCCCAGAGTAAACTCTACCTCACATACCTGTCCCTTACTCTTTCCTAAGGGCAGCACTCTACTTTCTCCTTCAGCTCTACCTCACTCCCAGCTTGTTTGATAACTATCTCATGTTCTATTGTGTTTTATACCCCACCTCCTCTAGACTGTAAGCTTGTTTAACCCCTTAAGGACACATGACATGTGTGACATGTCATGATTCCATTTTAATCCAGAAGTTTGGTCCTTAAGGGGTTAAACAGGGTCCTCCTCATCCTATTGTTCCTGTAATTTTTAAATCACCACCTCCTATAATATTGTAAAGTCCTATGGAATTTGTTGGCAGTATATAAATGCCAATAATGATGATGATAATAATAATAATAATAATTTAGGAGTAGTGGTTCTGCCTATGAATTATTTGTTTTGTAATGTTGTATTTACTCATCTAATTGTTAACACATTATTTCCAAATAGTCACATTTTAGTCATATTACATTGATATTAATTTCATAATAGGAGAACACCCCTGTTTATGCATTAAGTGCCCCTCATAAAACTAGAATTCCTGCAACCCCTGGTCCCTCCT